TTAGGTCCTGTATATATGCTTCAAAATATATACAGTATATATAGTGTGTATATATATATATGATTGTAAATATTCTTCCTACAACGTCCACGGGATCTGAGCAAATTCTCCTGAAGAAGCTCGCTTCATCCCTCACCACCGAAAGGGTCAACATGGATATCTTCCTTCTTGGCAGCTACTCACTGCGTTGGTGGGTGCTTTATCCTCAAAAGCAAAGGTCCATCATCTTGAGCGCACAAACGGTCAGCTTGTTTGCTCCTTTGGTCCGCAGACCAGATGGGTCGCGATCCCCGTGTGCGCTGCAGGACTTTGTCTCCAGAAAAGGGCCGAAGCACATGGAAAGTTCACCAAGTGGCCAACCTGAAAGAATCTTGGGTGAAGTAGACCTTTAATTGAGAATCCAAAATTGCCAGGCTGGTGGCCTGAAGCTGCAAGCTTCCTACACCCGCAAGTGTCTCTTCTCCAGACGACCACCCTTCAATGGGTCTCTTGTTACAATTGTCAGCTCAACCTCCTCAAACCGAGGAGATCCAGCCCCACTCTGACCCTATCCTCAAGGTGCTGACCCTATGTCCTGCCTCTGATAGTTGGTACCCATTGCCTCCCCAAGCGCTGCCTCGCCACCCGCGACCTCCGACGGCGCGTTTTGAGGGATAGGAGGATCGTGGATGTTTGAAGACCGTTCAAGAAGATTCAAGAAGCAAATGCAGGTCGTTGAGGAAGCTCTCCTCAGCTGTGAAAGTGTATGTCGTTTAGGTCTCAACTAGGGTCGGACGGCGGGAAAAAAATACCGGGCAACAGATTGTCCAGCTATAGGATACAAGGTCGCCTGACAATAGTCATTGTGGCATCTCAAATACAGCTGTGAACATCTGCAAATTTGAACAGTCGAACTATTGGAGTTCCAACCCTAACCATGTATTACCATCTATTACCATGTATTACCAAGTGCCTACTGTCACCTGGTTTCCCCGAAACGGGCGAGTCCAGCTCCGGGTCCGCCTCCGGTTGAAGGCGGCCGGTGGCCTTCGTCGACCAAACATCCAGCGGCACCAGCGGCAGCCAGAGCTGCCGAGGCTCGTTGAGGAACACCACGGAGCTGGAGGGAAAGGGGATGCGCTGGATGGGAGATGGGAAGCTGGTCTTTGGAGTGGAGCTGTGGTGGATCTGTCTGTCTGACTCTCTCTCTCTCTCTCTCGCTTTGTGTGTTACAGTGTGCCCATATGTTTACAGTAAATATATTCCTTCTGTATTGTATGCTCCGGTAGGAGCCTGTATCAAACCGAGCAACCCTCCTGGTACAGCTATTAACGCTTGACGTCCTATTCTGGCCCCCTCCTATCGAGCAAATGCGGACAAATGGCTCACTTCGGGTGAATGCGTGTGGAAAGAGCGCGAGTGCTAGGAACTGGTTGGGGGTTGCGATCATTGGAGCACGAATACCCATAGCTTAGGATGCAATTATCATTGCAATGATTGGCTTTCAACTGTCTGCAAGTGGTAGACACACAGCGTGCCCTGTTGATGAACGAATTCACCTCCTTCCCTGAGATGCTTTACCTGAAAGTATACTGAGGGAGGGCAACTCTTTTGAGGCGCGCCTTGCTCGGCTGCAGGAATGCACAGCTTTTCCTCTTTATATAATTGCAATTCGATGCATTTGGCCTTTTGCCCTTTTTGTTTGTTTCGATGTCCACCTAGCTTCACCTCTTTCAACACAAGGATCGGTCACGCAGAGCACCTTTCATTCCTCGCCTTTCATGGCAGAGCAGAGCGGAGCAAAGCGTGCCTGTAGTGGCTCAAGATCTCCGCAAGAATGGTTGAGCCCGATCTCCCACAGCCCACGATGTAGCAAACACGAACCTCCAGCTTTGACGATCCGAAACGAAGGCATACAACTGAAGCTATGGTCAAGAGGCCATCATGGGTGTAGCATGGTGTTGTGGCAGTGGCTTGACGCTCGGAGTTGTTGGCTCCCAAACAGATTTTTCCTTTCAGAACAAGACCCCTGTTTCCTGTGTATTTCGAGGTGTTCTTGATGCCGGTTGCATTCCTGACGTATCCAAAAAGGAGGAGATGAAAACACAGCAGCTGATGACGTCCAAGTGAAAAACACCGTGGACTTACATTCACAGGAGACTACGATGTGATATGTCGCTGTTCTTTTCTGGTATGTATGTGTTGAGTTTCGAGCAATCCGGAAAGGCCACCAGAAGCCATGCAAGAACAACATGGGCACTTGTTGAAAGAGCCAACTTTGTATTGACTCCAACAGCAAAAACAGGCATCTTCGCTGCTGCAGGTACTTCCAAACTGCAGTTGCTTCGGGACCAACTCTACCATTCCTCAGCTGCTCCACCTGCCTGGGCCGAGCATCCTTAGTTGAGGTTCTTTTCTTGATTATTTTTGTGTACGTATATACATGGTACAAGTTTCTATAAATATTATAGCTCTGCTGGATCCCTACGATTCCAAATCCTTCATAGTACTGGACAAAATTCCCTCCATGAGCTGCCCTCGCCTCTTTGCATTTGAGGGGTGTATGCTTGTCTGGCCATCGAATGGGCGGACAGTGGCCGCTGAGAAGGAAGCCATCAAAGGGCTTCGGCAGAAAGGCATCTGGGTCATAGGACCTAGCAACATTGTTAGTCAGGAAGATGGATGTGCCATGAAAGCACGAGTTTTTGTTTTGCCTGCTTGACACTACAACCCACCCCACTGTTTCTAGACCACACAAGAAGTACCTTCAGCATCCACCTGGCATTTCGCATGGAACAGAACCGTTGGATTCTGGATTCTTATAGCCTCCGTGTCCATAAACATGTTCCGCGTTGCACAAGCACACGGGTGCTTTTTGTGTCATCCCAGAGCACAAGTGCCGTTCTTCGTGCCCATAGGAAGACAAGGCTTCAAGCTCGAGCTCTGGAAGGGGAAGGTCTTGAACAAAGTCGTGCTGGAACTCTTTAATTACACTTTACCACCACCTCCAGCTAAGCTTGCACAAGCCTAAGATTCTGCAATAGGCCGCTTAGCGTGTTCCTGGAATTCTATACAAACCTGAGTGGACCAGGGGACGAACACAGGGCCAACTTGGCTTCCCCACAGCCAGCTTCGAGTGCCCTGTGTCGCTCCAGAACCTGGCAACAGAGTTCGGCCCAGGGCAACGAGTTTGCGCTCTGCGATCCTCAAGCACTGCCCTGCGGCATGTTGAAGAAAATGAGGGATCGAGCGCCCACAGCTACTCATCAAGTCGAAAGAAGGAACAAGAAAAACTGAAATATCTTGGGGTTCCCGTAGGTTTCTCGCAGTGAGACCCAAAACGTCTTCGCGTCACTTCACCTGCCGATCCATGCGCCGATCTCCCCAGCTCTGCCCGGCGCCGGTGCCGCTGCAGATCCTGCTTTGTGCCGATGACCGATGCTGGCTCCCTCAGTTTCCCTGGAAAATCAGACCTTTCTTCTTTTTTGCCCACTCCTGCTTAATTAAGTAGGTGCCTACTTAGTTAAGTCGGGGAGTAAGCTCCTTAAGTAAGCCCCTACTTAAATAAGGGAGTAAACACGCTACTAGCAAGTAGGAAGCTCCTAGGTAGGATTACATAGGTAGGGATGCTTCATGAGGATAAAAAACTTTTAGCCAAACAAAGTCGTCAGTACGGCCAACCCGGCCACCGCCAACACAGCAAGTAACTAACTCCTGTGCTTTGAACAGAGTTGAGTCTGTGATCGCCCAACTAACTCCTACGCATACCTATCAACTATTGACCTATTGTTACTACTAGTAAGGCACTTGTTACTAGAAGCTTCTTGTTACTACTAGTAAGGCCCTTGCTCCTAGTAGCGATGCACTTGTTCCTATTGACTCTCATTGAAGTATCTAATCCAGTGACAGAAATCTCCCAATCAGTTGAATCTTTGATTGATCCAACACTTTAAAACTGTGCGTGAAGCAGGCCGTTGCCCCATGTAGCAAGGCTTGTTGGAATACATGCGGTGCGCGATGCTCGGTGCATGCAAACGATGCCTTCTGTCAAACTTATGTTACTTTCTTTACTACCAGCTACAACTCCCACTGGTGTATCTTTGATGCACTGTCCATAGACTTACATAGAATATGCATGTTCTTCAATACAGTCTTGATCAAACAGGGTACACCTTTCTACATCAGGATTTTGATAATCTGATAAGCTTGAGAAACATGTTCAGAAGCAGCAGTCAGATAGCCGCACCCCAATCTCCATGAGATGTCTTAAAGCCTGAACTTACGAAATGTGGACCTCCCTAGTGCGCTTCCCTTTCAGCCTCGCACGTCCTCTCTTCTGCGGTTCATTGCACTTTCCCACTGGCAGAGTTTTAGAGACTTCCACATCGTTGGGTGTTAAGTTTGTGGAAGTCTCTAAAGCTCAAGTCTTCAGGGTCATTGTAGCAAAGGGCATCGCTACTAGGAGCAAAGGGCATCGCTACTAGGAACAATTTTCGCTACTAGGGGCTCCTGGCCGTACTACTAGGAGCAAGGACGCTACTAGGGGCTCCTGGCCTTACTACTAGGAACAAGGACGCTACTAGGAGCTCAAGTCTTCAGGGTCATTGTTCTTGACCCAGTCTTCAGCGGTCGGTCGGTCTTTCTTTTCCGTGACCAAGTCATCCTCAGCCCTCAGCGCTCGCTCCTCCTCGATCTCGTCTGCCAAGGGCACACCAGCCAGGCGCAAGGCGGGCAATAAGGCCGCCTTCCTGCGGACAAAGGTGTGGGCTGGCGGCCCGGCCCTCGGTTTCATGACTTCATGGTCACAACTTCCCGGGTGATGTGCTAGTGCTCTTAAGTCTCTGCCTGGGCTTTTAGCTATGGCTGTGCACGGACTGTGGATAAAGATTGCCCAGAGGTCATTCTGAACATTGCATCGTGGACGACAACAAATCTCCGTGCCTTGCAATGCAAGACCATCATCCTCTTGTCCAACATGACTTGTCCCGATGAGTTCGGGAAAAAAGAGAACGACGTGACCCGTCTGTCTGTCCAACATCTGTCGCCGTCCTCACGCATTCCAGGCACTCGCAGCCTTGAAGCTCCACCATGGCGCAGTTTCCGAAGAGCTGCGTCGTCCATGTCAACAAGTCAAGACGCGCAGCTAAGCGGGTCTCACAGTAAAGGGCTGACTGTCTTGATGGTTTCATGTGGTTTCTCAAGGTTCTGAAGCGACACCCTGATGGTTCTCATGCACGCGATCGGTATCAATCGACTCATGGGAAAAGGAAATGGGGGCTCTGAAGTCATTGATAGAAATCCGCCCGTCTCTAAGTCCGAACCTTAAAAAGGAACAAACCAAGTTCAAGGCAACAAAGTATTCAACCACACATCGAGTCCAAAGCGCTGCAAATAGTCCGTCACAGGAAGCCGGTTCGTCTGATCAGGGGCTTCTCGGTGAAAGATATATAATCATATACATATATAACAACTGTTAGCTTCAAGTTTGGGTAAATATGTTCCTGCATCAGTTCGAATCACTAGGGAGACATCCTACATTCCATGATGCATGCGGCATCGGCAACGAACGAAAACCATCGGCATCTTGTTCGACTGCGGCCAACGGCTGGAGATCGGCTCAGGGAAGTCCAACTCTGGGAGGGTTGTCAATCACTCTGAGATGACATCATCTGACGTTGAACGAACACCTTGGCCGAACAAACACCTGGTCGCTTCGAGCGACCCTGCTGGTCGCAGGTAAAACGTCGGTTGGACACGTGACATCAAGAGATCTTTTCAGGGGCTTCGTCGGGGCATAGTGGGCATCGTGCATCCCGGGATTCGTTGGTCAAAATCGAAGCTGTGTCACTTGGGGACCAGTAGCTCACTGCGGGCAGCCACATGAGATCGATTCACCATGGTTCGCCCATTCGATGAGTTTGGCAAACAGCTAGATCCCCTTGATGCTTACTTGGGAAGAAAATGTGCTGGGTGCTCTGCTCAGCTCATGCCGCACGTCACGGCCATCAAACTCCACTCATGTGCCTTGTCCGCCGTTCAAGTCGTCGGAAACCAAACGTGTTTGGACCGGAGTAACCCATCCGGTGAAAGAAACACGGGGTCTGGTACCATATACCTATCGGTTGTTCACCTAGGGGGTATCCCCTCTATTGATCAACCAACCAAGGGTGTAAAGGGGCCATTTATGGGAGTACTGACGGACTCGGTCCGTCACTTGAGATTATCCGTTTGGGCTCCCAAACCATCATCGACTTCGCGTTGCCGCCTAAGGCATCCTGGCCGTGTCACATCAAAACAAGATGAAACAATGGCAAGCAAAGCAAATCAAAGGATGAGGATTCAATGAGGATGGTAGAATTTGATTCCAATTGGCCAGCTGGTGTTGAAAGTGGTGGACTGGATGAATACATTTTTATTGGATGTTGGATGTTATAAATTGAAAATGTATGAAAGTTGGATGTTCATTCGGGTTGTATCTCAAAGTTCCTCACACCCTGAAGTTAATGGACCCACAAAAGGGGAGCGGTACAGAACAACGAAAGCATTTTTTTCCTGCTTTTGTGTCCCAAAATCAAGACCTTCTATATGTGTGCCTTCATACCACTGCTCCGGATATTGATTCAACTGAACTCTTCACCCTTACCACGCTCAGTTGTCCGAAGTGCATACTCCCTCTCTCCCTCTCTCCCTCTCCGCCTCTCTCCCTCTCTCCCTCTCTTCCTCTCTTCCTCCCTCCCTCCCTCCCTCCCTCCATCTCTCTCTCTCTCTCTCTCTCTCTTTCGAGTCAAATGACCCTCACTGCTTGATCCATTGAAGCTCGGGGGGCTGCTTGCCACGTTTGGGGTCAGGATTTGGTCGAACAGCAGTATAGAGCAGTGTTGGGCCCCATGAACAACTCACTGTCGATTGCAAAAACAAGGGATGGACGTCGCGAAGGCGTCGCGCCAATTTGCACACTTTTGCATTCGTTCCTGCGTTTATACTAATTCAAAGTCTACGTGATTTCTGACATTCTCCATCGTTTTGCCATAAACGGCGTTGTTCATCAATTTGAACATATCCTTCTCAAAATCGCTCTTAGACTCTTTGCCTCTTTTCGCTTTCCGGTGTTAAAATCTATCCAAGGCTTCAACCACGACCTTTGTTTGAACTTGACCGCTCTATGTATCTGTTTCAGTTTCATCCCCTTGTTCAGGTAATACTGTAAAGCCTTGATATGGACTACATACGTCTCTTTGTCCATAACGTTCAGTATAAGTTTCGGTTGCTTCTCATCCTTGGCGTCCTTGCCATTGTAGTAGTGTTTGTGTAGTGTCCTCTGATGCTCTGAAATTGAAAGGAACTCCTCTTTCACATTCATATTTTCGGGCGCTAATGGATATATAATCAGAATGTTCGTTATGTAGTTCCTTTGGATACTCTAAATCCACTTCCAGGATGTAGGCGTTGTCATCGTTCTCGTTCCAGTCCATTATGTTCTTTTCAGTCAGCATCTTCTTTATCCACTTGAGTTTTCCTATCGGTAGTTTCATTGACATTGCCAATCCATACAGGTTATTAGCATCTAAATAGTTGATGAAGTTTGATGCCTTTTTTCATCAAAGTACCCATATACTTGTTGTTTGCTTTTGCTTCCTTATGACTGACTTGGCACATACCGCCAATCATCTCGTATATCTCTTGGTCGGTCAATGGTTCCAACTCCACTCCGGTTTTAAGAAGCATCGCATCCCAAGCAAAGTTAGGAGGTGAAGTAGTGCGCAGGGTCTAAACCATAGTATTCTAAACAAAGGTCTCTAAAATGTTCAAACACATCGGTTAATAAAATAACGTCGGTTTTCGAATACAAATCGTGGTATTCTCCAAGGTTTCTTATACCGAAGTGTTTTCTTTGCTCGTTCATAGTCTTCATCTGATATATGTTCTTTGGTGAGATTGCTGTAGAAGGCTTCCTTTGGTGGAAGTTGTTTGTCTCGGAACTTGTCAAAGGAAGTGAAGTAATCGTATGGATAAACCCCTTTGTCGGTGAGTAAGTCCAAATCCTCGTTATTACTGACATAGGGGTTTCGCCTACTGAATTTGAACTTGTCTTGCCAGTGGTTTTTCTTCTGTCCGTCTTCATACTTGCTCAACTTCACCAATTTATCCAAGGAAGACGATAGGAACCTAAAGCTGTCTTTAAAGCACATATATATATTCTTAAAGGCGAAGGTTATGAACTTTTTACTGTTCTGCGCTATTACATCTATCCTCGCTCTCTCTCTCTCTGACAGTTCATTAGCCCTCTCAATAACTCTTATGACTGTCGTAGTTCTTCAGGTTATGTAGGAAGACGGGGATTTTGTAGTATCTCATCGCAAATTGTAAATTACAATCTTGATGGGCAAATTACCTATACAACCCGTGAAGTGGCAATGGTCTCTACGCTTAACATCTTCTGCCAAGAAGGGATTACCACAAACAAAGCAATGAGTTGCCAATTGAAAATTCCTCGTGTTGTTTCTATTAAATATTATTGGTTTGTTTTAATTCATCTTCTCCATTATTTTCTCCTTTACCTCAATCAATTTATTCACGAAGGCATCCATACAATCCTCACCTCTGTAAAGGAAAGGCTCTGATGAACCATCAATTGAATTGACAACATTTATCATAAAACAGCAGGGTCTATGATGTTGGTATTTGTCAGGTTTAATTTCTTTAGTGCTCACCGTTCCAGTTCTTGTACAGTAGTCAAACATTCAAAATCCGCATATATATATATATATCACGAACGGCGCTTTCAGTTTCTTATAGGGATTTTTGAACCTAATGAAGAACTTGTTAGGGTTATTGGGGTCAAACTTTGGCATCACGACTTTTTGACCTTCAACTGCCATACACCCATTTTCGTTGTGTTGGTTTAACAGGTATTCTTCTTCAAAGGGTCGGTGGCAATGGCAACATATCCATTTATTTGCTTTGTGCTTACTTTGGATTTGTTTATACATCAACTTGTTGAAATCCTTGATGAAGACATAGTGGTAGTTGTCTCCATCCTCCAATTTCAGAAGGTCTATGTGATGAGTGGATTTTTGAACCTTGGACTTTCTATACAGCAGTATGGATTGTTTGCCCTCTTCGGGGTCAATGAAATAAACGTTCACTGACACCTTGCCTTCGTTGTTTTGTTCAAAGGTGTCTATATCAACATTTGACGTAGGGAAATTTACATTATCCCAGTTCAGCGTGTGTTCAATCTTCTTGTAGTGATACATTCTGTTCGGGTGGTCTTCTTCATATATCTTATGAACACCGCACTGAACCGAATACATAAAACAATTCTTGTCTTGATTTTGGATGTTGATACACGCTTTCTTGCTCCGAACCCATTTAGGCAATGGAATGAACGAACCGCCACCAGTTGGATTGAACTTGTCGTAGTGAAACCGTAACTTGTCAAACTGACTGATTACTAATCCGCTCTCACTCAATTCCATTCTGTCCGTTTGAAACTCTATGTCGGTTCATATTTGAAATAGGACGCTCACTATCTCCTCTGCGTTGGTGATTTCATATCTTCTACTCCTTATAGTATGCCTAATATCTTCGTCGGTCTTCTTGCTTTTGAATGTCCCGTATGCTTCCATCATAATTGTCATTCCCTTATGTTTGTTCAGGTATTCCTTCAGTCTTTGGTCTTGGTATTTGAGATACAAGCCCTTCTTAATGCCCTTGACTTTGATATTACTGACGGAATATGCATTCACATAGTTCTTGAAAGCAGATCCAGTCTAGTCCATTTAACACCTCGCTTTGTCTCCAGTTCGTACTTTTTGTATCCATAGTTTGTTTAACAGTTGTGAGTTTTCGTTTCAGTCTGTCGGTGAGTGGTTTTGTCTTGTCATAGTTGTAGGTCTTGTCCCCTATCTTGAGTTTCTTTCCTTCTCTTTGGTTCTCTTTGAGGACTTCCCCCTTTTTGGATGTCAGTAGGTAATCTAAGAGGATCTGCTCTGAACGACTTGTCGTAATAGTAAGGTCTATATTATTATTGGTTGGTGGAGTAAGGTCTTTCGTTAAGTAGGATTTGAGGTATGGTTGGTGGGTCTTTTGACGGTTGAGGGTTGTGTTGGTGGTGTTGGACTTCATCATTAAACCGCTCTGCTTCAATGTTCAACC